TCAGAAGCTTGCTGAAGTTAATGATCTTTATTTAGTTGAGGTTGGCGTATACTGTTCGTTTAATCAACTTCTGGAGTATGGATTTTATCATGCCGATCCCCACCCTGGGAATTTTCTTCGCACATACGATGGCCAACTTGCATATTTAGGTATTCCTCAGTCTCAATACTAACTTTTTGTGTTATCATGCTGCACTCCATGGCCCAGATTATAATGTTTATGTATAGTTGTTTCTTTGCTCAAAGAAAAGAGACTAGTCGCTGATTTGTTGATGCTCTGGTGGTAGCTTCCATCTGTGTTTCAGCTAATCTATTTGATCACACAGTGAATTAACCAGCAACATGTATTATACCAGTGAGCAAAAAGTGGGGACTTTTCCTGCCTCTCTGGATATCTTATTTACTGTATATATGCGTGGGGTTTATGTCTGCAAAGTACAGACAGATTTTGTTGTCCTGAGAAGTAACTTTTATTTATAACTGATTGTAATTTTCGTTTGTTTTGCTTCCAGATTTTGGTATGATGGGGGACTTTAGGCCAGAATTACGTGATGGATTCATGGAAGCATGTCTTCATCTCGTTAATCGTGACTTCAAATCGCTGGCTAAAGACTTTGTAACTCTGGGGTACTCTGGTCATTGGTGTCCATTTGAATCGGTTTTTTCAACTGTTGGCATTTCCTAATCTTATCTACAACTTCTATAGGCTTCTTCCACCGACAGCTGAAAAGGGCGCTGTGACAAAGGCTTTAACAGGTTTGTTCTAGCTTTTGGATTGGGAAAAAGAGTATTACTTTGCACTTTATTAAAATGTATGTTGCGTTCTGAAACAAATGTCATCTCTCTACAGACGTTTTTCAAGATGCAATTGCCAGAGGGGTTCGCAATATAAGCTTTGGTGACCTGTCTGGAGACTTAGGAAAGACTATGTAGTAACATTTGCTCTTAAACTAACACATACTATAAGGTTTTATACTTGCATATGTTACGTTTACTTATTAGATGCTGATATTCATTTGTCAATTCTCAGGTACCAATTCAAATTCAGAATACCGCCCTATTTTTCTCTCGTTATCCGCAGGTACTATATATATTCGTTGTATAGTCATCCAGCCGTTTTGCTGGTATAATGGACATTCTTGTTTTGCGATGTTGAGAGTTGTTAAGATAGCCTTTGCAGAAGATCGTAGTCCCAACTGGTGTATGCGTTATATGAATTTAGTTTGTCCTACTTTTACTATCAAGCACGGCTTATGTGTGATTGGTCTTTTTCTGTCTACTGAGACGTCACATGATTTCTGGTTTCTCATTTTTTATTCCCCAGCCTTGCTGTTTTGGAGGGCATTGCCATTGGTATTAACCCAAACTACAAGGTATTGGGCAGTACATACCCTTGGATTGCTAGGAAAATCCTAACTGACAGCTCTCCTCAGCTGAAAAGTTCTCTTCAGTCTCTTTTGTATGAGGTACTAAACTATGTTGTCTAAATTGACTGAACATCGCCATTTATCATTCTGTTTCTTTCTGAACGTTCCATCCTTTATATCTGCCTCTTCCAGGAAGGTGTTTTCCGGATTGACCGTCTTGAGTCTTTGGTTACCGAGGTGAGACTGGATTTAATTTCCTTTCGTTGTTGGACTATCTATGGATTGATGAATATACTTGCTTCTTTTCTTGTGCATTAGTGCGTCAGTTTCCTCTTTGTTTCTGAGCTTGTATCTTTGGTTTGAGATTGTGGGTAAACTTGATGTGGGCTATTTAACGTTCAGTGACAAATTAGTCATTAGACAGCTGAATAATTATACAACTAAATGGCCTGAAAGCTAATCAAATATTGTATATTCTGCATGATGATTTGGGTGAAATTTATAGAAAAGATGTCCTACGTCGAAATAATATCATTTGGTTTGTTATCGTTATCTTCTTTCTGCAGTCTCTTAGAACAGAGACAGCACTGGTTCAGAAACCGGTGGAAGGCACAGACTCTAAGATCGTCATGAAGCAAGTACTTGCTTTTACTTTTACGGAACAGGTATACATAAGCTGTAGTTTCTGTACTACGAGTTATAAAACTAATGTTGCAACTACTTAAATCTTGAAACATTGAACAGGGTTCTTTTGTAAGAGAAATCCTTCTTCGAGAATTCGCTAAGGTGAGCATTTAAAATGTCTTATCAGCTGTTGTCCAAGAAACTGTCTGCCTTGACAAGCATATATAATATATTGAAATCATATACTATTGAACATTTGTCTTTATTTTATCTCCCGCTCGTGAGAAAAAAAATCAGCGTCTGTGTTGATCAAACGATTAGTAATTTTTGTTGTTTATAACTAATGTTATTCGACAGGGTCTTGATGCATTTGGATTGGCAACTTTGGACTCTTTCACATCTGTATCTTCATTTTCTGGTTCAAGGCCACTCAACTCCTTGACAGAAGAAGACATGACAAACCTAAGAACCTTCTATCGACTCATCTCGTTGTTCTCAGGGACGCGAGAGGATGAAACGGTAAGAAATTACTCACTTCCTTCTGCTTTTGTTAAGTAAAGAAGATCATATACTGTTTTGCTATTTATCTTTAATGTTTGCGGCATCGATCATGCAGCAAGTAAAAGCGGTTAGTAAATATGGTGAGGCACTCACGCCTCTAGAAGAAGCATCACTAGTCATGAATCAGCTTCCATCAGCACAAGAGATGCTCCCGATTCTCTCCATCTTACCCGAGGTACCGTCTCCATAAAACATCAGCAACACTTTCAAAGTGTTTTGGCTAATCCCTACATTTTTTATTATAACCCGAGATAATTGTCCTGACCTGTTCTTTATGTTTTGGGGGTGTTTTGATGAATGTTGCAGCTTCCTCAAGAGTCGCAACAGCGGTTGCTTCAGTTGCCAGGAGACTTGGTTGGAAGACTGGTGTCTCGGGCTTTCGCTAGAACCATACGTAGGATGTTTCTTTGATGTCTCATTACAAAAACGCTTAAAGCATCTATAGACATCTTACTTTATAGTTCTGTATTATTTTATACAATCTCCATTGCCACAGGAGTTTTATTTTTCATGAGAATCATATTCAACATTGTCCGTTGACTTAGCCGTAATTCTTGTGTATTAATTGAAGAAATAAGATGTGTTTTATTCACTAAAGCACCGCAAATCTTCATTAAGGGCCAAACGAATGTCCACAGGATTAAAACCAAGGGAGGAAAGTTAACTCTCAAAACAGAAAAACAAAGAGACTAATGCAGTTGTGCTGAGACTTTGGACGTATAACTTTCTCTTTTCCTTCATATTTTTGATGCCTGGATTGTTCTTTTATAAGACAAACTTAGCACACCAAAAAAAAAAAAACACAATCACTCGGTCAATTTTAAGGTGAGACTTGCTTAAGCGCTTGTTGCATCCTTAGCTGTTCCGGTGTGAGGTTCATTACTTGCTGGAGCAACGTCGACTGAACATCCTGGGAGAGAAGTGTCTGGAGAAAAGAGAATCAATCACGGAGCAAAGATTTTGCAAATTAATATATTCAACTCTGAGGCATATGTGGGAGATTTATCGTGTCCATTTTAAACTTCCAAATGATGTGAAATTGATTGTACCTGAGGCACTTTCTCTTCAAGTTGTTCGTGATTTGGAAGATCAGTCTCTAGTTCCTCGCCACAGATGAAGACTATTTATCAATTTTCTTTGTTTTTTAATCATCAATCGTGTGGCCTTGAGCCCTTGATAGTATATACATTCAAGGCTTGATATTATTTAACTTTGGTATCAAACGTGCCCTTTCGTGTGGCATCCTAGGAAAAATGCTGCTTGGCTAGGCACGAGAGGTTGGTTTCCTCGGCCGAATACTCAATTATGTATCATTTGTTTACAAATTTGTGCATTTGATTATAAAATAAAGCCGCCCGAACGATTTAACTATTACTAGATTTTGACCCACGCAACCGCACGGGTGTTTGTTTTCGTTTATAGTTAGTTATATAAATATTTTGTTTTCACTTGTATATTGGTATATATTATAGTAATCACATATTTACGATATGTATAGTAAATTTTTTTCAAACATAATAATATTATATAATACGTGTTTTAATCAAATAGATTGTTTTTAATTTTCTATATTACACATGTTTTTCTTGTTTCTTCTTCTACATTTTATTGTTTGTTAGATTAATATTTCATTTTTATATAAAATAATATAAATAGAGCTTGATTAAATATTAGTATACTTTAATTTGCAAAGATAATATAAACTTCAAAGAATTTTTTGCTAAAAACTAAACTTATAACTTCATAAATTAATATTATAAAGAATTTTATTAAAAAGAAATTTTGTAAACAATTTCTTTTAAAAAAAATATATAATTTTAAAATTTTACATCGAAATAAATTTATCTAGTATATATAGCGTGTAAATTGTTTTAGGGTATATAAATATTCCATAGTACGAATCTGTGATTTTGTTAATATATTGTAGATGCATTTAACTATTATTGATATATTTCCTTATAAATAATAGTAGATTCCTAAACTTATATCTATTAACATATTTTGTGTGACTAAGTTGGAAGGTGTGGGGTAATTTACCAAAACCAAATTGTTAAGCGTATCTTTGTTATTATAGATATGATTTTTCATAAGATATAATAATGATAAGATTATTAGAGAATTAAATGTAACATGACTTTCTAGTACTAGTCCATTTTTAAAAAAATCACACATGAAATTAAATCATGACTTCTGTTTTAATATATAAGATTTTTAACAACTAGTTCAATATATTATTGTTTTAAAAAATACGAGGAAAGACTGTTATTGCATTAGTTTAATTTTCATATTTTATTACACGAACCTTTTTGATGAAGAAAAAGGCAAAAAAAAAACAAATAAAGAATTTTTTTAAAAATATCAGAATGAAAAACAACACGACACCAACAGAAAATAGTACGTTCCCAAAGTAGACCTCTCTGGTATGGCTCAACTGTAACTTGTAAGCCCTTCACATTAGCTGAGACAAAAGGTTGTGATCGAATCCTATGTCGAGTCCGTTGTAAGCCAATGGTGCATACATCCATAGATCATCCGAGCTCAACAACTACATTTTATAACGTTTATTGCAACTTTTTTGGTTAGATGTTAAAATATACAAAGGTGGGTTCAAACAAAAATAAAACCCTAAAAGTAATTTACATATACCTTAATTTGAAGCTGCAAGAACTTCACGTAATTCACGGCTTCTTCGAGCATTGTGCTTATATCAATTTTTGTCCCGTTTGGTATAAGGTTTTGCAGCTCCCTGAGCCTTTCGTTAATCCTCTCTCTTCGTTTCTGCATAAATCACTACCATAATTAATTAGAAATCTATTATAAAGTGTTGTGTATTGGTTTTGTTGATCCTGAAAATGATTTGAATCTTGGTGCACCAGTAAAACCTACATTTATGTGGTCGGAATCTTTTTTGTAGATAGAATAATTTTCTAAACGGAAAGAAATATCGAGTTTTTTTAGGAAATATAAATATGAATATAAAGAGCTATAATTTAAATCATATATTCGCACAATCAATAAACAAGTCTAGAAACGGTATCTTTTTTTTTTTTCTCTTAAGTTTTCTTGATTTCTAAGAATTATTCAGAACGGATTTTAAGATAAAAGCCCTTGAAATATTCACATGTTTTCTTACCCGAGCATAGAGGCTTTGAGGATCAGTAGCTTGTCCTTTGGTGGCTCTTGTTTTGCCTCTAACACTTGTGACTGAAGATTTCTCATCAACTGAATTGTTGATTATACTCTGACCATTTCTCCAGTTAGTGTCGACTGAATTGTTTTGCGGGTTTACCCTCTGCTTTTTCTTAGCTTTGACTAGTTCCTACATCGTATTAGTGATATCGTAATTAGTTTATTTCCTAGTAACACTGAATAAAAGCAACTGTTGTACACGATATTGTGTAGATTATTTACCTGAAGTGGTTTCCTCTTGCGCGTTGCCGTTTCTTGGAGGTAGTTTTGATCTCCAGAATCAAACATGGTCGGAAGATTCCCTCCATGCGTTGCGCCAGGTGGGAACATATCAAAGAGAGCATGGTGATCATCAGAAGACAAGACATTGTTCTGGTGATGATCATGAAGATGATCATTGTAAAGGCTAGAGAAACTGAGAATCTCATCTCTCGGTCGGTCCTCCTCAGATGATGAACATTGATCAGCATTGAACATCCACAAGAGAGACTCTAATTCACCATCAACAAAAACGTCCATTTCTCCAACCTTCAACTCCTGTCTTTGTCCTTCTTTTTATTCTGCTTTATTGTTGTCATAGTTATTGATCTTGTGCAACTATATATAGGTCAGAGATGAAAAGAATATTCCCATTGAGGAAGATTCAGAATAAAGAAGATAAATTTACAGATTATTAAACTAGTTACAGTCATTTGTGTCCTGAAGAAAATAAAATAAACGAAATGAAACCATGCATGAGGGTGAGCACACTCCATCTACTTGTGGGGTCGACAGGGAGAGATGAGACCTGCCTATCTCTTAATATATTATTTTCTCTTAATAAATTGTTTTCTCTTAAGTTTCAAAAAGAGTTTCAGAAATTAACAGATTATTAAACTGTTACAATCATCTGTGTCTTGAAGAAAATAAAATAAACGAAATGGAACCATGCATGATGGTGAACACACTCAGTCAACTTGTGGGGTCGAGATGGAGAGAGATGAGACCTGCCTTGCCTTATTCCTTTCACACAATTGTTCTATTAACCCAAGAGCCAATCCATTATGGAGGGTTTCTCAAATCTCCTTTGCCCATTTGATTCTAATGAAATATGGAAATTCCATTTACCATTTTATATATACCGAATTATACAAGTTATATTAGTTATACTGAATTTTACAAGTAATACTGAGTTATTGAGACAATAGAATCTCACCAAAATCTCTAACCAATTATATTGATATTAATTTTAAAAAATCTCAGAAAAATTGAGACTCATGAAATACTCGTATCCATCTAATAATTTTCCAGTAGGTCTTTCTTTTTTCTTTTCGAAACACCATAGGTCTTTCTTATCCACTTTGTTTTCTTGGGAGAAGATGCAGCATGATAACTTATTTTGCCGAAGTGAGTTTATTTCCATTTTATGTTATATATCAAGAAAAACTCGTCAGCGTTACATGATTCAAGCTCATTGTTGACGCAAAATGTTACTCTTTAGGTTTGTATGTTTTCGTTTTGTATTGGGTTAAACCGTTAAAATAAAACCAGACAGAAAAGTAAGAAGAAGCCACACCATACAGTACAAGAATATTGTATACATTTAATTTTATAACTTTGTATGTATTAGCATCCAAGAACCTATCATTTTAAGATGCAAATAAAACGAAATTCAACAATCTATATAATATGTTTATATAATTAGATTGCATCCCAGTTACAAAATAATAATAATAATAATTAGATTGCATGGTTATCAATAATATTATATATATGTGTGTGTGTAATAATTAACTTGTTATGGATATTCCAAAAGAATAAGCTAATTTTATGTATTATAGTTGGTAGTTTAATAAACGTTGATAAAAAATTTAAAACTAAAAGCTTATTATCTTTTTGGCTGGGCAGGGGGGGCAAATTCCCTTATAACAAATAAGTTATGAAAAGTCAAGTTAGATATATAAATAAACATATTTTAAAATACTTAATCAGGACGGCACAAATTATAAAAAGAAATTGGACGACATGATTTTCATTAGACTTAATGTTGGCACATTTATGCAAAAACTGAGTTAATAAGTAACTATCCACAATAGTTGAGGGGCTTTGTTATTTTGGAGTTTTGTATATTTTCACCCATTGCCGATGGATTCTTCATTTTCCACCAAAATTTAAGGTGCAATAGGTTTTTATCCTTTTCTAGGTTAAACACAAATCAAAAAGAAAAATTTGACAGGAGATTAAATCAAGAGATAAACATCATATTCATATGTGTTTTTTAACGCTCCATTTACCCTCAATATGCCATCAAAGTAAAATATATTCCTGATTTTAAGTAGACATTATATTGATAGTATATAGCTTTAGAGCATGTCCATGAGAACTCTTTAACATAAGGTTCCTAATAAAACTGAAAATAAAATAAAATCAAAAAGCCCAAATTAATACAAAACCGTTCTCAAAATTTGGCTTTTTAGTTTTGTTAGGAAATCCTATCATGCGTCTTCTAATTAGACACCCATCAATTGTTCATTTCTCTCGTCGCGAGAAATCAGAAAACTTTCCTCTTCATTCTCAATTTCTCCGTTTTCTCTTGAAACTCTTCGTCTCTCTATAATCTCGTCGTCTTTGTTTTCTACAGGTATGCTTTCAAATCCAGATTCAAACTGAAGTTTAGAAGTGGATTTCTCATTTTCTATAAACATATCTTCAAATCTCGGCAATATAATGACCATTCGGAATTAAGTTCATGATAAAACAATAGATCAACGACTGAAAGCGAATTTGGTTAAGAATATATGGCAAAAATTTGGAACAAATCAAGATTTCAACTAATCGTTTGTTATCATTACGATTTGTATTTGTATTTTTAATATGCTTTAATGTCATTTTTAATAAAAAAAATTATGTATCCTTTTCTTTTAAATCATTCAACTTTAAAAAAAAATATATTAATTTTTAAGAACCTCAATAAAATTCTACCAATGGAGGATGAAAAAATTAAATAAAGTATAAAAGATTTTTAATCACAAAATTAAACACTAATTTAATCTTAAGTACCCATTATCCTTAGATTCTTAAATACATTAAACTCGGGTAAATAGCATGCTCTGGTTGCTGCCCGTTTATTTGTCGCAGTGCAATCGTGATCCTCCCTGCAGTGTCCATGTGAAAGTGATTGTGAGGGAATTATTAATATGTTGACTACTAGTCTTGTTTAACACAGATAATTCCTTTACCTCATTGCTTGTGTAATGGTGATGTCAACATAGTGGTGTCAATTTTACAAAAAAAAAAAAAAAAAAACATGGTGGTGTCCTGTCTTTGTTTTATCCATCATCACGTGCGGAATTTTGAAACTGAGAAACTTTGTGGTACACCACGACCGAACTGTATCGGAGTGTTGTTTTTTATTTGAATGATAGAACAAATGAAAAAAATCATGAAAATATAGCAAAGGGGAGTATTGGCCTTACATGTCAATGACGAACCGGACCACAAACGTGGTGTTGCCGCAGCGTTGTTGAGATCAGATCCTTGCCCGAAATGTATTTGTCCAACAACATCTGATGGTATTAAAGTATATGTTGGGTCCACTGGTGAGCACTTCAGAAAGAGTTGTTGTTAAATATTTTATGTGTTAATTCCTTAACTGAAAGCTAATTAACAGGTGGAGCTGGAAAGACACGATGATGAATGGTTGCTAATTTGCTATCCTTTTTCTTTGTACTAGGACAAGAAGATCTAACAAGGTAACTCTCTTTTGAGTAAAAGGTACATATTTAACATTTTACTGTGTTTATCTATCTTTTGAGACCATACCCACCTGAAATTAACTATTATGTTTCTTGCACAACTGTATTTACTTGAATTTGACTAAGTAAAATATTTCGCGCGGTAATTCAAAAGACCGATTCAACTATATGTTTATATTGTCATATTTTTGACTTGAATGAATCATAAGTTAACTTGCTGGTGCAAACTACCAGGCCATACCACTAGTATATACATATTTTTTTACGATTACTTGTTGAGAAACTTTCAAAACAAACCAAAAAAGCTTATACAGAGCTCCATTTTTACAATTATTTGAAATACTTGGGGGGAATAATTAAGAGAATGGTGGTGTGGGAAGGGTACGTGAGTGACGAGACGATGGGCACTATAGCTCCCATTATTGTATATTGGGTTTACGCTGGAGTTAACCAGTTTATTAGCCCTTCTTTAGATAAGTTCCGGCTTCACAGCTTTGATGAAGAGCATGTGAAAAACGTAGTACCGATCATCACAGTGGTCAAAGGAGTCCTGCTTCAACAGCTTCTCCAAATTTTAATCACCCAACTCGGATTCCTTGTGAGTCAATACTATTTACATGCATTTCAACAAAATGATATTTCCATTAGCTAGTTAAAAAAAATCGGGATTAATATGAAATTACGCGGTTTTGCGATTGATAAATTTATGTAAGAATATTGATACAGAAGTTATTAATCCAAATATTTTTGTTTTGTCAACTATTAATCCAAATATATACTTGGCATAGTTTTAGCAATGAATGTGATTCCGTATGGTTTGACATGGTCACAATAGTCGGTTAGAAATTTCATACATAAAATTACTTGACATCATTTAATTGATCTTAATTGATTTTTGGAATTCGCATTTTCACTAAAATTATGTTTTTTTTGTTTGGGTGATTATACTATTACAAATGATAAGAAATATTACAAATACAATATTATATTTGACAATTTTCCTCGGGATTCATATCTGTTTGCTCATTCTGAGTTGCTCATTCTGAGCCGTCCTATAAAATCCATTTCCGACAATATTCCTTATGTTATACAGAGTTTTTGGTATAGAAATTGTATAGTCTGAATGTAAAAGTCTTTAAACTTTGACCACTAGGTTACAGTGTTTCTACAAATCTAAAAATTGTGTTATTCTAACAATGATCGGTAGCATATCAAAACCAGTTTGGTTAGTTATTAATTATCGAAACTTTTTTCATAAAAATTATGGACACAACCTTATCATAAACTAATAGATGCAAATGTTATAGAAAAAAAAGTTTGCATCCTAACCTAGTATTCATCAAAACGAGGCTTTGATGTGTCTCGGGATCTCGAGACATATAATCTAATTATAACAGTTGATCATATGATGATTTTTTGTTCTTTGTAGATTACTTCCTATACAGAAGAAACCTCAAGGCCAACGGTCCAACGTTCAGTACCACTCCAGATCCTTCAGATACTAATAGCCATGTTCATATTCGACACGTGTCAATACTTCGTCCACCGTTACATGCACCACAACAAGTTCCTCTACCGCCACGTCCACTCGCACCACCACCGTCTCGTCGTCCCTTACGCCGTCGGGGCTCTCTACAACCAGTACCGGTCCTGACATGGGAAAGACCAGAAACAATTTTCTAAAAATTGGTCATTTTTATAAGAATGTTTATATACTATAATAATAATTTTCTTATAAAAAGGCTGAATTTGTCAAGTATTTTTTGAGGGCCGGAAGCGATTGCTTGTAATGCTTCCCCTCAGGACCGGTACTGTCTACAACCACCCTGTGGAAGTCGTATCCGACATGCTCGGAGGAGCAGCTGCGTTCTTTGCCTCAGGGATGACGCCTAGAACTAGCGTTTGGTTCTTTTGCCTCGTCACCGTCAAGACCGTAGACGATCACTGCGGTCTACGGCTTCCGGGGAACTTGTTCCACGTTTTGTTCAAGAATAACGGCGCTTATCACGACGTTCACCACCAGGTTAACGGCGTTAGGTATAACTACTCGCAGCCGTTTTTCACGTTTTGGGATAGAGTTATGGGGACTTATATGGGGACTTATATGCCTTATGACGTCTTGATGCGGCCTGAAGGAGGGTTCGAGGTTAGGATGATAAATAAAGGTTTATAGATAGATTAACTAGTTTTCATGTAATTAGCGTTTTTCATCTGATAATTAGCGTTTCTAATCCGAAAGTATATATCTATAAATCTAAATGAGATTTGGCAAATGTTAAAAAAACAAAAGAATCTGATGTTTACAATGTGACAAATATTTGAAGATCGTAAGGAAATTGACAGTGTTGTTTCTCTGATAAAAAAATAGGTTTGAAGAAAATATTTTATTCATCTGCTCTATTGTATCTGTTTTTTTTTGTCTGGCTGTATCTGTATTATTTTATGTTTCTTGTTTTATGTCTTTTGTAAGTAATTTTAACATTTATATAAATAAAATAGTTTTTAAAAAAAAAATTAACGTTACCTTTCTTTAAGTAACATGTCAAAAGCTACCATTGATGATAGTGTCAGTTATTATTAATAATAGTATCAGTTATTCTATGGCCTAGGAGAAGTTAAAACATTTCATAAAGATTGAGCTAAGACCTTAGACAATACGCACTGATCTGTTGCATGTCTATGGAACAAGAAGGTCACATGATGATAATTGTGAAGCTAGCCAGAGACAACACGTAACAAAGAAAGTGAGAGGCATTCACACAAGATTCACACAAGACACTCGGAGAAACGTTTAAAACTCAGAAAGAAAAGCAAAAAAGAGTGAGAGAGAGAGAGATATGAATTGTTATTACATAAGAGATTGATGGGAGAGGGGAGTATCAGGAGTCGGGTAATCTCATATGTACGATCTCAGCAGGTGGACGCAGCGTGCAAACCATCTCTCTTGTCTTCCCAAAGTAAACCTGCGTTTTTTCACCAAAACAACTCTCAAACTTCTGGAACTACACACCGGTGGTTTCTTGTTTCTGATTAATGAGATACTACAACTGTCTAAATTTGAGGTTTCCTAAGCCGTCACTAAATTAAACGAATGAGATGCATATCTGGAGGGGTTTTTAACAAAAGTAGAAAGTTTCTGTAAGTAACCTGATCAAGTGAGTTTCTCAGTTTGCCTTCCAATTCTTCAATCATTCTCCCCATATTGCACAAATGTCCCTCCGCTACAGCAAGCTCCATTTTCATCTGATTTCACCAGTAGCAGAAACAAAGATGATATTGTTTTACAGAAATTCAAGTTATCTACAAAGCTATGTAGTTAAATAGAAGCTAAAAAACTTACTTGTCTTCTAATTGATCCAGATAAGCCGAATTTTCCTGAGGGTTCGTCATCAGTGGTCAGAGAGAGCATAATAGTACTTGTTAAGCAATACTGTGCCATTTCCTCCTCCTCTGGACCAACCTAAGATTAAGAGAACCTTACGTGTTAGAAGCCAAACATGAAGTCATGAAAGAGCAGCTTTGGGATTGCAGTTGTGACACAAAGGCATCCATAGTGATGGTAAACATTGACTATGTTAAAGAGAGTCAGTCAGTCACCTGAATAACATGTATGGCATCCCAAGCTCCTTCTTCAAGGCATCCCCTCCGACCATGACCTGACTTTGACCCATCTTCAACAGAGAAGAAAACAGAACAGCTCAGTCAAGATTTATTTACTGGTTAACCTTCAGTGAGACTGAAACTTCAGAGAAAGCAAAAAAAAATACCTTTCTTGATAAGGAAACATGCCACAAAGCCTTCGTTATCATCCTCCTCCCACATGTAGACCGAAGATATACCACCTTCATAATACCTGTAAGAAAAAAAAAATGAAAACCATGAGATAATATGTGGTAAGCACGAGATAAACTGTTTCATCTCTCAATAGATGAGAGGTTGGTCAATAACTATGTATCCGTTTTTAAGATAACTCAATTGGTTTTATCAAACAAGTTTTTGAACGAGGTAGGTGAAGAACCTCACTGGTCACGATAGATGGCAAAGATGTCGTTGGCTTCAACTTCTAGCTTTCTTAATTCTGATGATGGGTAAAGAGCATCCTCTAGCGGAGGATGGTACTTGTTTGACCAGGGTGACCTTCAAAAAATGTCAAAACATTAGATTGCAATTTAGCTATGAAACTAGTTATCATAATAGCTCTGATTCCGACCACCAAACCAAATCCAACCGATCATTAGAGTTTATGTAATAAATAAATAAACGTAACTTAGGTCCCTAGTTATCCAATAACTTATGATTCCAACCAACAAACCAAAACCAACCGAACATTTAAGTTATGTAATAAAAAAAAAAAAACATCAACCAGAAAAAGAGAGTAACCTGTAGGAATCTGCATCTCTGTTGTACTCACACAAGATGAAATCTTTCCTACTTTCAGCATCACGTAACACCTGTTTCAATACATGTAATAATACTATTCTCCGTCATTAAAAGTTTACATTTATAACAAAAAAAAAGGAACCAACTTTAATTAACTAGGAAGAAATTCTATTAGACCAGACGAATTAATAAATAAATAAACACGACTCAGGAAGAAGAAATAAAAACGATATTTTTGAATCTAGAGAAAGAGAGATACCTGGAGAGGGAGATCGACTTGAGAGAGGAGATCGGAAGAATGTTGAGGCAAGAGGCTGAGTAGTGCTGATAGAGCCGTTTCCGATTGTTTCGGTGGCATTCTTCTGAGAAGCCCCAAAGCCGCCTCCATTTTTGTTTTTTCAATCAAAGTCGCCGGAGAAATCAATCTCTCCGATGGATGTGGAAAAAAGGAAGATAACCGGAGGAGACAACTGATGGTAACCGTATAAAACCAATCGTCAAAAAGGCCCGTCTTTATCCTTTAGTAACCATTCAAGCCCATTATAAGGCCCAGCCTCTAGATTGTGACCCCGAAACGGCGTTTGGACATTTTTTACACATTAATTAATTGCTCCCGGTTTTTCAACAAAAACTTTTAGCCGTATCCAAACTCACACAAACAATTCCATTTTTGAATTTTATACACGAGTCTTTAGTATATACAGAAATCCACACGAACAAATCTAATTTTAAAATATCATACACAAACTATTAATATTAAATTAATTGATACAAAATCATAAACGGTGTTAATATTCGCTAACTAGTGGAAGTGAAAAATCAGTTTAATTTGGGTTAAATAAAATGAATACAAATACAATGCACTTATGGTTTATTTGAATCATTTAAGGTTTTTAATGTGATGTCTTTTGAATTAAAATCTGAATACTTGTTTTGTTGTGAAACCAAAGATGAAAACTTAATCTTTATTATGATGACAAACAAAACGACATTGTTCCCTATTTTGTTAATGAGAATTACATTAAAACAATGTTATATTCGTTTTATTAAATCCGTTTTCATTTGTTAGAAGATACAAACACCGTTTATGGTTTTGAGACAATTACTTTAAAAGTAATAATCTGTGCATGAAATTAAAAAAAAAGTGGAATTGTTTGTGTAGTTTTGACATGTATTAAAAATTTGTGTATAAAATTAAAAAATGAAGTTGTCCGTGTAAGTTTTCGGCATGGACTAAAAATTTATCTTTGAAACAATTGGAAGCAATTAGTTCATGGAGAAATCAGTAATTTTTCTATCAGAAATTCATTAAAATTAAGAAACAAAAGAGAACCTCTCAATCCATGCTTAACTAGAGTATTTGTTTTTGTTTCGTTCTTTAGATAACTAATGGTCTAATCGACTGCCTTTATCCTTCAATAACTTCAGGCCCTCTATTCCCCAACCTCAAAAATATAACATAATATCTAGGCCATAAATGAGGCCCAAGATCTAAATTGCAGACACCAAAACGTCGCCGTTATTTGTTTTTTTATTGCGTTCTTCTTTTGTAACAAAAAAAAAACAGACCTTTGTAACATGCATGCATGTATCACGCCACAACAACAAAGTCGCACATACTTAGGCACACGTCGATGCCAGTCAACGGTTTCTTACTCGTACTTATACGGATACGACTTTATGTATTGTTCCTCTGTTGGAACAGGATGCTGTAAACATTTAAAATCCATAATCATAAGCATTTTAGACGGAAAACCTTTGATAGAACCGGCAAGTCGTTAATCATTGTCATAACAATGCAGGAGACTGCTCCGTTACTTGACGATTCTCAAACTGGAGGTCAATCTGCGACGACGAAGGTGCCGGAGGTGGAGATCCATCTGTTTCTGACTGGGAGAGGTCTGGATCCGATCCATGTTTTCAAGTGGAATCTCGGAGGTGAGGAGCAAAATCAGCTCGAGGTTGGACCTATTCTTGTTAAATATGGATTAAAAACCATATTCGCTTTCACTGTTGACTATGGTCGAGGCGTCTGCGTCCCGATCAAATTTAACCCTAGGAACGGTCGGTCTCTGCTGACGTACAGAGATGGTACCCTCGTTCACATCATAGCTGAACCTGAGGTACTCTCTATCTCCCTCTCTCTCTCTGAGTCTTCTCGTAAGAGGAGAAGCGACTTAACTTAGATTGTGTTGAGTGTTGACCAAATTAACTGATTTCCTTTAATAAGTTATATGAAATTTTGGTGATGGTTATAAATTACATAACAATGTAGAGTAGATATATTGATCAAGTCTTAGGAACTCACGCGATATTGAGAGTTCCAAGTGCAATGCTTCACGGTGTTATCTGTTGTTTGTTCTTTAGACTTGTCTCGTGAGGTTGTCATAGCTAATGTCGTGTCGCCTCTCCATGTTCTTCATCTTCTTGGATAGACTTGGTAGAATTACTCAAGAGTAGCTTTTTGCATTCATTTCTGTTTGTTGTGCCAGTGAAACTATATACATGTCATCAATAATCTATATACCTTTCTCAATGCCCTAGACAGGGACGGGTCTGAGACCCTGAGCTATTTCATATGAAACATATAATGGGGTCCAACATTATAATTAAGGGTTCCCAATTTTTAAAAATTATTCAACGTTCAAAATAAATAAATAATATTTTATATATTAATATACATATTATTTCAAAATAAATTATCTATATATATTTACATGTATGGATGTACATAAAAAAATCTTATTAATATTTTGATTTTGTTAGATCGTATTTGTATAGTTTTTTCATATATAGCTTTATAATTTTAAAAACAAGATTATTTAAAAAAATTGGAATGGACCCCCATTAAGTCAGATCCGGCCCCTTTTACTTTCAGTTCACGTGGACTCGGTATTTCTCATAGACTGTAGCTCATATTTTCGTATCTCTGACGTAGAAAATAGAAAGGGTGAGACGGTACATGGAACTCGTTGGAGTTAACAAAAGCTTTGAATATATGCTTATAAAATGATTTTAATTACCGTTAAAAACAGAGTGATTCATCTAATGACATGATTTCTTTTGAATTCTTCTTTGTTTTCAGAATCCTGTGAGCAAAACCATCCAAAGAATCGTGATTGGAGCTGTGTTTGCTACGCTGTTAAACACGTTTCTAGTGAGGCACCCTCCAGCGTGGATCAAGAACAACTTCTCCATTCAGGACTTACCTATGTGGGTGCTCGTGTGCATAATGATAGTACTCATCATATTAAGGAAGAGAAGCAGAGACATTTACAGGAAGTTTGGCTGGTGTCACTAGATCCTAACACTTTTCTGGCTTGAAATGTGGTGAAAATTGTAAGTCCTCCATGGACCATATATAGATATGTTACCTCGTCTCAACCCAACAAGTTTCATTCTTTGTTAACCACTCTTTTTGTTGCTTTGATAAGGCCTCGTGCGCCAGTAATCTTGCTTTCAAAACCAAGAGAGAGCAATCATTTTCTCGTATTTGCTTCTTGTTGAACTTGATATAAACTTTGATCCAATAACTTATTTAATGTTCACATGGTTCCGAGCATCAAAATAAAGCCAATCCAACAAGTTATGTATGTTGAGAAAAAAAAAAAGACACTAGCACGAGTGAAGTATTCTCTCTATAGAATAAAACAGAGCAAAAAGGTACCCTATAGGAATCTGCATCTCTGTTTTACTCGCACAAGATGAAATATTTCCTACTTTCAGCATCACATAACACACAAGATGAGGCCCAACTTCCTAATTACTGACCTTAATACGGGATCGTATGAACCTAATAATTATCAAAAGATGGAAACAAAAACAAATATTTTTAGACCAAGATTAACGTAAATCTCTAAACCGAGATTTTTATCTTTCGGCTAATAGATGGTTCTTAGTTTAATTAAGAAAAACTAAGAACAATTTATTAAATAAGAAATATAAAAATAAAATGTTAAAACAATAATGTCAAATCATAAGTTAAAATCCCGACTAAAAGACCGGAGTTAATCATACTCACTAGCCCTGCGATTTTTAACCGAACCGACCGGTCCGAACCGGACCGAACCGAGAATCGTGCGGTTCGGTTCACATTCGGTTAGGGAGAAGAAACCGATCGGCAGTTATTTTAATTACATTCGGTTACCGCATCGGTTCGGTTCGGTTCACTTATTCCGATCGGTTATCCGAAATTAACCTAAGTATATATACCTTAAACCTAATTGTCGGCTAAAACTAAATCGATTAACCTAATCTCCTTTCTCTTTCTCTCAAACCGAGTCGCTATCTTCTTCGAACCCAAGCTGAAACCCTAGTAATCCCTTCTTCTTCGTTTGATTCTGACCAGAAGGTAAGATCTTCTTCACTTTTATCAAGTTTTATGTCGATTTTGAGCTTGGGTTCGGTGTTTAAGATTGTTTTGGGATTTAGGGTTTTTTCTCAAAATTGAAAAGGGTTTTTTGATTTGTGTGGAATAAACATTTGATTATCGTTGTGATACTGTGTGGTATGATTATTATTTGATTATTGTTTGAAAATTTTTCAATATTTCAGTGTCTACTCGAGATGGAAGTATGATTTAGTGTTTATGTGGAAATCGATATGTTTATATTTTTTGTGTTTGGGTTTTGAGATGAGTTGATTTAATTTTAACAAACATTATTCTCTATTCTCTAACTGAACGAGGCTTATTCTTGTTTATGCAGATGTCAGGATTTGAAGACAATGATGATATACTTGGAGATGGAACTGAATCACACGCTAATGGAAGGAAAAGATCGGCTACAGAGAGATCAAGTACTGATCATCCTCCGGTGGCAAAGAAAAGACAAGCTCACAGGGCACCAGTGTGGGAACACTTCATTCAAAATGAAGATGATCTGAGCGTCTGCAAATGTCGCTACTGTGGACAGCAGATCGGATGTGACAGCAAAAAGAATGGGACAAGCGCAATGAACAACCATATTGGCCGCTGTAAGTTACACAAAGCTTTTCAGGAAAGTGGTAAGCAGCCGGGTTTAGGAACTGATGGTAGTGGGGTACTTACTGCTGTTACCTATGATGCAAAATTGTTTAGGAGATCAGTGAATGAGATGATTGTGTTGAATGAGCTGTCTTTTTCTTTTGTGGAATCTGAGGGGTTTAGGAGATTCTGTCACAATGTCCTTCCCATGTATACGGTTCACTGCAGGAAAACAGCTACAGAAGATATCTTTGGGATGTTTATGTCAGAGAAAGCGAGATTGAAGGAGTTGTTTTGCTCAGAGAAGAAGAGAGTCTCCTTAACCACTGACATTTGGACAGCTCCTACGACATCCTACAGCTACATGGTGGTCACAGCGCACTGGATAGATAGAAACTGGGATATGCAGAAAAGGATCATCAGTTTTAAACCTGTGACAGATCACAAAGGAGAGACCATTGCGGAGCATCTGAGTCAGTGTCTACACGATTGGGGAATTGAAAAGGTGTTCACGGTGACTGTTGACAACGCAAAAGGTAATGACAAAGCACTGCGTCTCTTCACTGAAGCTTGTAGGCAACTAGGACCTAATACTCTGATCAAAGATGGTGCCTTACTGCATATGCGCTGTTGTGCGCACATACTGAACCTGATAGTCAGGGATGGTCTAGCTGAGGTGAAAGAGAGTGTTTCAGCTATTAGGAACGCAGTCAAATATGTTAGGTCATCTGGTCCAAGGCTTCAGTCTTTTCAGCTGAGGGTTACAACTGGAAACGTTAGTCGAGGAAGCTTGTCTCTGGATTGTATCACACGGTGGAACTCCACCTATCTTATGCTATCATCTGCTCTCAAGTTTAGAGTAGCATTTGAGAGGTTATTGGCGGAGGATATACCGTATAATGAATACTTTAACGAATCAGAAGATAATGGAAGTAAAAGGATTGGGCCTCCAACTTTTCAAGGATGGAATGAAGTGCATAGGTAAATCAAATTCCTTAAGCTATTATATTTT